AGGGGACTTGGGGAAAAAGATACTGAGTTCAGTTTGGACCATGTTGAGTTTAAGATGTCTGTGGGACATCCAATTGTAGTGTCCAGTAGGCAGTTGGAGATATGAGAGTGGAGGTCAGCAAAGAGTGTAGAGATGGATAAGTAGATCTAAGAATAATTTCTATAGAGATGGGAACTGGATTTAGAATAAGGAAGATCTGAGTTCAAATCCTATTTCAGATGCACACTGGCTATGCAACCCTGGGCAAACCACTCAACTCTTTGGTGCCCCATTCTTCCTGTGTGCAAGAAGAAATCACTGCAGGACTTTTGGGTACTCTATGAATGACAATTCAACATTTGGATGGAATGCATGGAAGATGAATAATATGTAAGAAGACTGGAAAGACAGGAAGGGGTCAAATTGTGAAGAGTCATACCAACAAAAGAGCTTATCTTTATTTTATTTTTTAGATTAATTTATTTTTAGTTTTCAACATTCACTTCCATAAGCTTTTGAGTTTTAAATTTTCTCTCTCTCTCCCTTCCTGTCTCCCTCCCCAAGAAGACATGCAATCTGATATAGGCTCTACACATACATTTCTATTAAACATATTTTTGCATTAGTCATATTGTAAAGAAGAATTAGAAGCAATAGGAGAAACCACAAGAAAGAAGAAACAAAACAGAAGAAAAAACAAGAGCAAATAGTATGCTTCCATCTGCATTCAAACTCCATACTTCTTTCTCTGGTTGTAGATAGATAGCATTTTCCATCATGAGACTTTTGGAGATGCCTTAGATCCTTGCATTGCTGAGAACTAAGTCTATCAAAGTTAGTCATAGTACAACATGGCTATTACTATGTACAACGTTCCCCTGGTTCTATTCACTGCACTCAGCATCAATCCAGGTTTTCCTGAAGTCTGCCTGCTCATCGTTTCTTATAGCACAATACATTGATATACCACAACTTGTTGAGCCATTCCCCAATTCATAGGCATTCCCTCAATTTCCAATTCTTTGCCGCCACAAAAAGAACTGCCATAAATATTTTTGTACATGTGGGTCCTTTCCCCAGTTATGATCTCTTTGGGATATAGCCCTAGAAGTGCTATTGCTGGGTCAAAGAGTATGCACATTTTTATAGCCCTCTGGGCATAGTTCCAAATTGCTCTCCAAAATGGTTGGATCAGTTCACAACTCCACCAACAATGCATTAGAGTTTCAGTTTTCCCACATCTTCTCCAACATTTATTATCATTTTCCTGCTTTGTCATGTTGGCCAATCTGATAGGTGTGATGTGGTATCTGAGAGTTGTTTTGATTTACATTTCTCTAATCAATAGTGATTTAGAATATTTTCTCATATAACTATAGATGGCTTTAGTTTCTTCATCTGAGAACTGCCTGTTCATATCCTCTGACCATTTATCAATTGGGGACTGACTTGTATTCTTATAAATTTGACTTAGTTCTCTATATATTTTGGAAATGAGGCTTTTTATCAGAGATACTGGTTGTAAAAATTCTTTCCCAGTTTTCTGCTTCCCTCCTAATCTTGGTTGCATTGGCTTTGTTTGTGCAAAAACTTTACAATTTAATGTAATCAAAATTATCCATCTTGCATTTCATAATGTTCTCTATCTCTTGTTTGATCATAAATTCTTTTCTTCTCCATGAATCTGACAGGTAAACTATTCCTTGTTCTCCCAGTTTGCTTATAGTATCAGCCTTTATATCTAAATCATGTATTCATTTTGACTTTATTTTGGTATATAGTATAAGATTTGGGTCTATGCCTAGTTTCTGCCGTGCTTTTTCCAGTTTTCCCAGCGGTTTTTGCCAAATAGTGAGTTCTTATCCCAGAAGCTGGAGTCTTTGGGTTTATCAAACAGTAGATTACAATAGTCATTGACTACTGTGTCTTGTATTCCACTGACATGTCACTCTATTTCTTAGCCAGTACCAAGTAATTTTGATGATTGCTACTTCATAATACAATTTAACATCTGGAATGGCTAGGCTACCTCCCCTAGCATTTCTTTTCTTCAGTTCCCTCGATATTCTGGACTTTTTGTTCTTCCAAATGAATCTTCTTGTTATTTTTTCTAGCTCTTTAACATAATTTTTCAGTAGTTTGATTGGTATGGTGCTGAATAAGTAAATTTATTTAGGTAGGATTGTCATTTTTATTACATTAGCTTGGCCTACCCATAAGCAAGTGATGTTTTTCCAGTTATTTAGATCTGACTTTATTTGCATGAAAATAACTTATCTTTGAACCTATAAGACCCCAAAGGATCCTTTCCAGGCTTCATCCCTGACTCTCTGCACTTTCTCTACCATGCCCTAGAACCTCTTTACCCTGGAAGCTCACCTACCGCTAGATTTCACACATTGGAAGTACCTTCACCTTTGCAGTCTGTATTTCTGATTGGCTGGTTCTTCCCAGAACTTCCATTTTAAGAAGGACTCCCAGGCCATCCTCTCTAGGTTGTACTCCTACTCTATGGACTTTCTCTACCATGCTCCCTTCTTGAGCACCTTCACCTCTTCCTCCAGCCCACACTCCTTTTTCAGCTTCCCTTTATGTTTTGTCTTTTTCCATCAGAATAAAAACTCCTTGAGGGTAGGGACTGTCTTTCTGCTTGTATTTGTATTCCCAGTGCTTAGCCCAGTGGTTGGCATATAGTAAGTGCTTAATAAATGCTTATTAACTTGACTTGTTGACTAATAAGGCACCACTGAAGTTTATTGAGAGGAGGAGTAACTTGGTCAAACCTGTGCTTTAGGAAAATCCTTTTGGCAACTGTGGGATGATGGATCAAAGTGAGGAGAGCTGTGCCATTTGCAAGCCTGGCTAACTGGAAGGATGGTAGTGCCCTTAAAAGTAATAGGGAGGCTCTGAGGAGAGGGGAGTTTGGAGGGAAAGATGAGTTCTGTTTTGGACATGTTGAGTTTGAAATGTCCTGTAGGTAACTGGTGTGATTCTGGACTAGAGGTCAGGAGAGAAATGAAGGTTTTACATATGATCAAAAATTATGTGGAACCTAGTTATATTCCCTAGAAAAACAACATTTAAGGAAGTATATAGATAGGCTTATATGCTTCTAGATTGGAGAGTGGACTCCAGCACCAACTTCCTGCTTCCCCTCCTGGCAGGAATGAAATTCTCTCTTGGAGAATAGTAGGGAGAGAAGAGACTGGAGATGTCTGTTCTGCCTCTTTTCAAGTCACATAATGACAAGCCTTGCCCTCACTCCACATGTGGGGCCTTCTCCTTCCCTACACATGGGAGCTTCACCCAGAATACTTATGTTCAGTACAAATACAAAACCTGTATACAAAGATTGTTATAAAAATCTTTATTATTTATTATTGAATAATAAAGAATAAAATAGGTACATATTATATAAATAAATATTTTAAACATTTATTTTTAAAAGTCATATTATAAAATCTCTACCAAACACAAAAGCTCATACATGTTTTTCAGTACAAGTATTTCACACACATACATATTAACAATCTGTTACTTATAAACAATATTTTAAAATTATAAGACATAATCATTCATACTAAAACCTGAGCACTATAAAGTCTCCTCCTATTTGCCAAAAAAAAAAAAGGTTTTGGTTTAGTATAGACGTAATTTACCTAGAAAATGACATTACTGATGGCGATTCATTCCATAGGAATGATGGCATAAATGGTTGTCAGCCAAATGCTGTTATTAATAAAAATAGGTAGCATTTACACGGCACTTTAATGTTTACAAAACACTATTATTATAGACAGGTTTTGCAGCTTTACAGTGAGGTTTGCTCATAAGATGTTATTGTAAAATGACATTGGTAGGAGCAACCTTATGTGGAATGTGCTTTTACTTTGCTTTGCAAATTCACAGCTTCATGCCAAATTGACGTTTGGTACAACTACTTGCAAACTGCCATGATCTCTCTAGCTCAGTATGCCCCAATATGCACAATGTGATGATGAAAGCATTGAAGCACAGAAAGCCAGCCATGGCAGAGACCAAGGTAGTGGTCACTGTTTCACACTTTCTGGCTATCAATGGGGAGCTGACAATTGGAAATTTTTCTCTGCATATAAATAAACAAACAAATATTTTCATATGTGTGTAGACAACCTCCCAATTACAAAGCAGAGAAAGTTGAGGGATGAGCATCTTTCATTAGGCAGTTTCACTTTGCTGTATAATCTACTGCAAAAACATTGAGCTCCCATTAGACAGAAAATGCAATTCAGTTCACAAAAATCATATTTACATGACACTTGAGAATCACATACATCTTTGACATCAAACAGAACATACCCATAATTCTCATTTAATTCAACACAGAGATGTCCTTAAAATTGTACCTCCATTTGTTTTTCAAAGTCAAACATTCAGCATCCTAGAACCGTATTTTTTTTCCTACATGGAAATGCTAAGGCTATTTACTACTTAACATCTCTGAGGAAATAACAAGCAAAAGATATATAAGTTTCTGAGAAAAAGAAATGAAGAATCATATATACGATTTATAGAGTGAGAGCTATTTCTACTCTTTATGCTGGAAAGAATAGTGGAAAGAGGGCAACTATAGAAGGGCTCCTTCATGTCCTGAGCATTAGAGCTCTTCTCTTTGGAGAAATAAAAAGTTCATGGTTGGCACTGTCTTAGACTTCTGCTGGAAAAAAAAACAAGTACCACAAGTTTTTCAGAGATATAGCTAACACCAGGAAAAGTAAGTGCACCCACCACCTTGCTGAGAGCTATCAGTAAGCGCTATGCACTTTTTTGTTATTGTTATCGTTCAATCATTTAAATCACGTCCAACTCTTTGTAACCCCATTTGTTTTTTTTTTCTGGCAACGACACTGGAGTGGCTTGCCATTTTCTTCTCCAGCTCATTTTACGGATGTTTATAGATGAGGAAACTGAAGTAAACAGGATTAAGTGACTTGCCCAGGGTCACACTGCTAGTAAATGTCTGAAGCCAGATTTGGACTCAGGAAGAGAAGTCTTCTTGACTTCATGTCTGGAACTCTATCCACTACACCACCTAACTGTCCCCAAAAGCACTATTAAAGGATAGTTTTTAATGTTTTGTCAATCAGAGAACATTCTATATAGTTGGCCAAATGTTAGAAAATTTTAGAAAAAAAATCACCCAATAATCTCTAAGCACATTTTGCTGTACTGAATCCCACAGTAATAAAAGTACCCCAGATCAATGATCTGCCATTCCAGTACAATTTGGTGAGTAGGAATGAGTATGGTTTGCATTCTTCAGGGCTCTTGTCAATGTTATCTCTCTTGGCATTTAAATGATAGAATTTCTTTTCAGTATTTAATTAGCGGCAGAATTTCTCCCAACAGAAGATCCCGAAGGATCTTCTGAACACTTGATAAGTTATAATACTCTTCCTATTTATGTGGCACCTTATATTTTACAAAGTTAAATATCATTACCTCACAACACCTGTTCACCTGTATTCTATGAGTGTTAGAAACTGCCAGGGCACACATCATTTGTGAAGAACCAAAGAACTTCAAAGTTGGGTCTACACTGAGCTCATGCTTAGAGATGACTAGGAATATAATTCCAACATTGCAGGCCCTTTTTCCGTTACCTTTACAAGGGCTTAACAATGGCTCGTTGGCTGGTATAAGACAATCTATCTTCTCATTTTGAAGGGTATATTAACATATCCTTAATTGAAACTGACTCTTCCCAGTAGAAAGACTGGGGATAGCCCTTGTCGCCTAGACTTGATCAGCAGAAGTTCCTTGTGGATGCCAAGCTTGTGATTTATAGGCATGGAAAGACCAAGGATTCAAGGGAGATTTTCCTCTTGAGGAGAAGAGTTGTCCCCAGTGGCTAGGCACATGACTGAAAAGCCTAGTTTTCTAGACATATCTGTCAAGGCATCCCCAGTTCCTGCAAAGAGAATAGCAAATCCTTTCAGAACACTCACAAAATCTGAATCCTGTCTGTTCTTAACACTGTGTTCTAGGTAGACCACAGTCATAACTTACATGTGCATTTTTATCCACCCAGCCAATCCAAATCCTTTTACAATAAAACATTTGCAGATGCAACTATTTGTAAACACAAAATGCCTTGATGGTAAAGATCAGTGAAGATAGGGGCCATGTCTTAGTGAAACTTATGTCTCCCCTAATACCTAATACAAGGCCTTCTGTACACAGTGGGTATAAAAGAAGTGTTTATCGAATTGGAATAAAATTGTTAATTGGTAAATCCCGTTCACCAAACACTTAGAACATCTCTAGCCCTACTCCCATTGAAAAGGGAGTATTGAGGCACCAACAACTAAGTGGTCTGGTCTTAAGGGTTCAGTTGTGTTCTGACAGAAGTAAATGATATGCCATAAATTTCTGTTGAATGGATAAAAGAGTAAAATGGCTCCCATTCTATGATTCTATATTTTGTTCATTGCAAATAAGGTATGGCAATTAGCTTCAGAAACCAAGGAAATTCTGGTTCAGTAGAGCTGATGCCATATGAATGAAGGATGATGACACTGATAACCAAATGGATTTTTAGTAAACGTAGATACTTTACCTGATCCTGTTGGACTTAAATTAACTCAGAAGAAGCTTGGTAGATTCCATCTGAATCAAGACTTTGGCAGCTACTGTAAAACACACAAGACAAGACAAGGTAAACTACTATTCTCCAGTGGAAAAGAGGGGGAAATATTTGTATAAAATGTTAGCAGATATATTTCGTATATCCACAAGGATAAAACTTACCTAGTAGGGGAAAACTTCTTTGCTTCAAGGAAAAGGAAGAAAATCATTAGTGTCATGAAATAATAAAACTAATTTTGAATTATTTGCCTTATTCCCTAATTTTTAATTTATCCTTTCTGACAATTGAGCTCCCAACCCTTAACTCTTTTTATAAATCTGATATTGTTTTGAAAGATCAGTTATTGGCAAGGTTCAAATGATCACAAAACAAAGTAAAAATACTAATAATAGAGATAGGTATTGGACCTGTGATTTTACTAGTATAAAGAAGTCCTGAGTGCAAAATCATTGCCTAAGCAAGCAGGTCAGCATCTTCCTTGTACCTGCAGTTAAGGCACTGAGCTGCCTAGAGCACTTAGAGATTAAGTGATTTGTCAGTGATCACATGACCAGTATGAGTCAGAGGTGGGGCTTTTACCCAGGTCTCCCTGGCTTCAAGGTCAACTCTCTATACACCATGTTGCCTCTTGATAAAATAATAATTAATAATAACAATCCACATTTATCTAATACTTTAAGGCTAACAATATTTTCTTCACAACCCCATGAGGCAGGTACCCCATTTCTCCTCTCTCAAATGCAGACAAAAGGATTCACTGGCAGAATACTTTTCCCATTAAAAAAAAAAAGGGGGGGTGGAGGGGCTCAAGCCTCCTGAACACTGGATTTGAAAATAAAAGACCTGGGTTTGAATTTCATTTTTGCCACTTAGGACCTGTATAACCTCAGTCAAGGCCCCCAACCTGTCTGTGACTCGGTTTCCTAATAAAAGGAGGAGGTTCCCTAAATGACCTCAAAACTGCTTCACATTCTAAATCTACTATCCTGTGATCTCCTCAGCTCTGATTCAAGCCTGGGACTTTCAAGAAATATACTTCAGGAGCATTTTTTTCAACCCTCCTTTTCTGTAACATTGACCTTCCTTTTGATCCAGATCCTAGTTTGCATTTGCAAGAGGTATTACGACCTCTTCCTTCCTTCACCTATTCTTCGGTGAAAATATTCCCAGAAGTGTATTTGCAGGGTATTCATGAGGAGCTGCAGAAAGGGTGCTCACCTTTCTTTCGAAGACGTTTTGCTAGCCAAAGAAGAAATGACGCAGTCGTCAAGAGGGAGGTCCCACTGGTGGCCAGGCCAACGACCAGGGAAGTGTTTGACTCCTCAGGAGCTAAGGGAATGAGGAGGAAAAGAGTCACTCAGAAATTCAAGTGAGGGAAGACACGTGCAAATAGATTCAAAGTCCCTTCTCCTTGGCTTTTTCTTCTATTGATGAGAGGATCATTTGCTATATTTGGCATTTTTATCTTAGGTGGAATGTAAGGGGGTGAAATCATTCATCAGAAGACTTAACTAACAGTGGATTTTGTTCAAAGGAATGCTACTGGTTGGATGAAAGTGTCCCTGAGTAAGAGGAGGGATTCTCCCATGCCTAGAGCAGAAGCGACCTAAACCAGGGGTTCTTAACCCTTTTTCTGGCATAAACTCCTTTGGTAGTCCAATGAAGCCTAGAAACCCCTTCTCAGAATGATGTTTTTCCATAATTAAAGGCCATGCTAAATTTTAGTTAGAGATTAGTCAAAATAAAGATTAATTTTCTTCTTAACCAAGCGCATGGACCTCCTGAGTCTGTAGACCCTAAGTTAAGAACCTTTACTGTAAACCAGGTATCAACAAACTACTATTGCAGGCCTAATTTGGCCTACCATCTGTTTCTGGACAGCTGGGGTTAAAAACAGTTCTTAACTCACAGCTGTACAAAAACAAGTAATGGGCCAGATTTGGCCCACTGGCCATAGTTTGCTGACCCCTCCTCTAAACCATAACATGTATTTTTTGTCCTATTTTTCCCCATCCCTGTAGATATAAAAGTTGTGCAGCTTATTAACCTATACAATTTTCTGGTTAAAGAATGTAACATCTTTGATGTCAGAGCCCTTTTTATCTTTTTTTTTTATTTCCTGGGCCCAGCAATGTTCCTTGTTTGTGACAGACACTTAATAACTGATTAGTTAAATGAATAAGCGCATGAGAAGGACTGGCAGTTGTCCCTTATAACAACATTTCCTGAAATATTCAAGTAATTCCCTTTCTACGCTTCAGCCCACATCCTCTTAGTGAGCAGACCCTAGCCCATTACCTTCACAGGAAGGCAGACTCCCTGACCAGCTTCCTGTGGCTCTGCATACCAAGGAATCTGAGCCGTTGAGTTTCCATCCCTCGGGGCATTCAAACACACATCTAGTGCCATAGAGAAAATTCCCATCACCATCACAGGTCATGGTGATCTCCTCAGGGACTTTCAAAGCAGAGCACTGTATCACTAGAAATGACATTCAAAGAAAGAGATGCATGAGGTTAATAAAAGTCTATCGGGAAATAGTCAAACTGGTTAAACTGAATTCCCCTCTAAAACTTCTGGGCTAGCTGACACCTTTCTTTAAGATTATTCTGCAAATCATCTGAGTAAACTAGTCTATAATATGAAAGTATGATTGTGAGTGACTTAGTCTCTCTCAACTTAAAATTTGCCTGTTTCAGGCTAGAGACCAGAAAATATATAAATTTATGTTTCCAGCATAAAAGAATTAAGATCAAGACTTTAATTTCTATCTAGGTATTAAATGGCCCCCAAGAGCTGATCAACCCACCTAAGAACCCAAGCTAATTGTTAATTAAAACTTTGGTTTATGTTTTAGTCATCAAAGTTACAGGCTTTTGTTCCTTTGAAATAAGCTATCTCAATTTTACTTTCATATATAAAAGAAAATATTTTTGAAAAAAATAAAAGAACCTAAACTCAGTCTTACCTTCACAGGTTGGCATTTGCTGTGTCCACTGCCCCTGGGCGGTGCACTCAAGTTGGGGTGATCCTTGCAGTTCAAAGCCTTCCTCACAGCTGAAGTTACAGACTGACTGGTAAGTGAAGTTTCCAGTGGGGGAATGGGCACACATCACAGAACCATTCTGAAGCTGGCTAGCAGCATCGCATTTCATGGCTGTAACACACACAAGTGCACACAAACACACCATTACTATTAGCAGTTTGCTTGACTAATGCAATGATAGATTGACTGCTCAAAAAATAAAGTCCTGGGTGTTGGAAAAAAAAAAAAAGCTTGGATTTTTAAAAGCTACCTTCACATGTGGGCTCCTCCATGTCCCATTCCCCTGTTAAGTTACACTGGAGTCTCTTGGATCCTTTCAATGTAAATCCCTCGTCGCAGGAGAACTCACAGCTGGATCCACTTTGGAAACTTCCAGAAACACTAGGAAGACATTCCAGGTGGCCTCTCTCTGGTCTGGTGGGTGCTTTACACTGTATGGCTAATGAGACACAAGTAAAATACTCAGTCAGGATTGCAAAGCAATATGGAAGTATTTGTACTTTGATGAGTGAACTCAGATACATTCCATGAAAGACAAAGGTAAAGAAGAAGCTCATTCTAGATCATGGATTATAGGGTTCAAACTAGCAGCCTTCAGAGATGGCCTAGTCCAGGGGTGGTGAACCTTCAGCCTCGAGGCCCCTTCATTCTGTAGACAGGAGAATCCAGACCCAGAGAGGTTCAGTAATTGGGCCCAGGTCACACATGAAGTCAGTGGCAGAGCCAGTTTTCAACTGAGATTTTGTGCCCTCAAATCCAGCCTTCTTTGGGTACCCCATGCTATTTCAGCAGGATTTATGAGTAATTGAGGGGTGGAGGGCTTATAGAACAAAGCAGCAGCTGTACTAAAAAGCAGTCTGAAGATGGAGCAGCATTTCAGTGCTAAATCTGCATTCTTTCCTCTCCTTGGTGAGAGAAGTAATTTTTATTTCCCCTCTGCCCTTCTGCCTTCATCCATTCAACAAATTCTGGGCGGGTACAGACGGCAGCCTCTCAGAAGTGGGATTTGTTGTCCCTCTGATGTTCCAGGAAGGCTGGGGATGGGGAGGGAGGGCTTTGGACAGCCAGGGGGAAGTGCTGGGGATCTAGGGACCTGGAGAGACTAAGGGGAGGTGGTGGCAGGAGGGAGAGAAGAGCTCAGTATGGGAGGTGGGTGGCACCGAAAAAAACTGCTACTTCCTTTGAAGTTTTGCCTAGGACCCTGACTGTGGGCCTTCATGACTCTGAAACAAACATTTCTTTCTGGCCACTGGCACTCCAAGAATGAGTTTGCTAATTCTTACGTAACTTGCTAGGTTTCAGTGTCTCTGTCCTTCTACTGGAGAAGATGTAAACGTTCACTTAAGCATTTATGTCCAAAATGTACTTGAGTATCTACTCTGTGCCTAGCATTGTGCTAGAAACACTTTATAAGATTTAAAATCAAGAGCTGTCCAGGACCTCAGAGGCCATTATTTCCATCATATTAACATTTCTACCTCTTCTACCATCAGCTTATATATAAGATATTGCTCTTATTGGCTTATATCTATTAGATTCTAAATAGGAACCAATCTTTTGATGTATGTATCTAGCCAATAATGAATATAACCTGGGGCACAAGCTTATCTGAATAAGCTGCTCCTCTATGGTGGAGAACAATTATTCAATACTCTGTGCCTGCTTGAGGGGAAACTGGTTAGACCTGCCTTACACCTAGAGCTAATTAATTGGTTTAAACACACTGCCCATTGAATCTGATCTCAAAAGGTTAAGTAGGTACCTGGCTTCATTTCACTGCATTTCATTGACTTTGAAGGAATGGAATCTCCATTCAGAGAAGAGAAAGCTGCTGGACCCTTCATGTTATAATGTTAAAAGATAGAAATTCGGTCCTACCTTCACACGTTGGGAATTGCAGTGTCCACTGCCCCTGAGCCGTGCACTCAAGCTGGGATGATCCTTGGGGCACAAAGCCTTCCTCACAGCTGAAACTACAGACTGACCGATAGGTGAAGTCTCCAGTGGGTGGATGCACACACTTCACAAAGCCATTATGGGGCTCGCTGGGAGCATTACATTTCACCGCTGAGGCACACAGAAAAGCAGACACACATCATTCCCATTAGACACCTGTTTGACCCCTGTAATGTAATACATTACAGAACCAACCCTTTAAATTGCCTCTTAATATTAAGACATCCTACCTTGACACATTGGTTTCTCCACGTCCCACTTCCCAGATGAGCTACAGTGAAGCTCCTTGGACCCCTTTAGCTCAAATCCTGACTCACAGTCAAACACACAGGTTGTATTCCATGGAAGGATGCCAGAGCTTTGGGAGCAATTCATAGATCCATGAACAGGACTTGTCAGTGCATCACACTCCACCACTAGAAATTAGAAATGAGACCATGAATTTGACAGAATAGCAGGGTTCTTCTGTGTAGGACTTGGATGGTCCTACAAGTCCCTAAAATAAGAGACTTGAGGATTGTACATTAAACCTCTTATATGTGATTTCCAACTTATCAGAGAAAGTCAACTTCTGATTATTTGCACTGAAAATTATCTGTTAAAAGTCTCCGTACTTTGCTAACATAAATTGAATCTTGATGTTCTCAAGCCCAAAAGGAACTGTAAAAAAAGGAATTCTAAGCCAAATTGAATTCTCCCAGATGCAAACCAACATTGGTTTTGCTTTTAAGCTGAAGCTGGTTTTCTTTTTTGTTGTGGTTGTTGTTGCTTTTTGGTGAGGCAATAGGGGTTAAGTGACTTGCCCAGGGTCACACAGCTAGTAAGTGCCAAGTGTCTGAGGCCAGATTTGAACTCAGGTCCTCCTGACTCTGAGGCCAAAGCTCTATCTACTGCACCACCTACCTGCCCCTAAGCTAAAGTTTTGCATCAGTCTAAAGATGAAATAGTCTATTCCCAGTATGGAGAAGTAGGTTGGGTAAGTAAGAAAGGAGGTGACTGGAGAAGAAGTATTGTTTCATTTCTGTTGTTGTTCCAAGTATTCTAAATCTCCACAAAACTGGGATCATTCCTATTCAGAGAGAATGCAATATACCCTTCAAAGCCAAAGATCTATTGTATTTTGATGGACTGCCATTTTGAATTACTCTCATGGTTGTTCCCCTCCGTTAGTGTGGCTCTTGAGTTGACTGTACATTGGAAGACAGAATGAGTTATGTTCTAAAATAGCTTCCAAAATAATCTAATATAAGTGGGATAAGAAACAGGGGTTCTGGAATGAGGCCCAGAACTTTCTACACTGAAGAAAAATGAAATACCTTTACAAGTAGGGCTAGGTCCACTCCATTTTCCAGAAGAAGTACACAATATTGAATTAGTATTGGTTGGGACGTAGCCTTCTTGACAATTCACAGAGCAGGAAGAATTGAAATGCCCCACTGGATGGCTGCAAACCAGGACACCATGCTCAGGATTGGCTTGAGATTCACAGGTCACAGCTATGATAGAAAACAAAATCAGCCTGACTCATTCCACATTTTGGTGTGACAGGGAAAGTGCTGTGATGGAGTCCACACCCCAGAGACAAGGAAGAGGATGAGATGAGGTTGAAATGATGGAACAAATGGATTAGGCAGAGCAGGTCTTACCATGCTCACACTGGGACCCAGTGAACCCCGGATAGCATTGGCAAGTAAAGCTGTTGATGGTCTCCACACATTCCCCATGGCCATTGCAGGAGTTGCTGGTACAGGAGGCTGAAACCAAAAGGATCGTCACTGCCGCTAGTATTATTCTTTCAATGAATCATGAGGATGCTTGCTAAAGGAGGGCTGTTAAGAGGACCCAAATCATATTGGCCTGCCGGGCTTCTGATTTTAGCTTAAGGATCTGTCAAGAGGTCAAGCTGACATTTTTAGGTCCACCTTTCCCAAATCTCATTTTTAATATATTTCAGACCAAAAATCATATCAGGTGGTGTTTATTAGTGCTCTAGACACACACATATCTTCAGTGACCATCACTACACATACACACACACACACATACACACACACATTCTGATTGTGGTAATGATAGTGATAATAACAATAACGATGAGGACGATGATGACACTAGCTTGCTTTTATATAACAGTGCGTTAAGGTTTGCAAAGATCAAATATGATCTCATTTTATCCTCACAACAAACCTGAGAGGTGCTATTGTTGCAGGTGCTATTATTATCCCCATTTTTCAGATGAGGAAATAAAGGATGAGAAAGGTGACTTGCCCAGGGTCACATAGCTAGGAAGGGCCTGAAGTCATATTTGAATTCAGGTCTTCTTGATGCCAGATCCAACACTCCATCCAGTGTATCACTGAGCTATTAATAATTAACAATTAAGGTGCAGCTAGGTGGAGCACAGGATAGAGCACCAGCACTGGAGTCAGGAGGACCTGAGTTCGAATCTGGCCTCAGACACTTGACACTTACTAGCTGTGTGGCCCTGGGCAACTCACTTAAACCTGATTGCCTCACCAAAAAAAAAAAAAAGAAAGAAAGAAAGAAAGAAAGAAAGAAAGAAAGAAAGAAAGAAAGAAAGAAAGAAAGAAAGAAAGAAAGAAAGAAAGAAAGAAAGAAAGAAAGAAAGATAATTAACAACTATATTGAGACTTAGGGTTATAAATAGATTTACATACATTATCTCATTCTTTCAGCATAGGAAACTTATGAGGTAGGTACTTCTGGATCAAATGAAATGATATATGTAAAGCACTTTGCAAACCTTAATATTATTTTATAGCTATTATTCAAATATTACTCTCACCCATTCTACCATTATAATTTCCTACTAATTCATCATGCACCATACCTGTGTAACATAAAGCCAGCTTCTCTTTTGTGCAACTCTCATCATTCCACATGCCTGAGGCTTTTTCCCTCTTGATATAGATCTCCACACAGTCCTCATTATTTTGCTTATTGTTGGGTTCATTAGGAGCCCAGTTCATGGCCTCTTTGGTCAGTGGCTTCTGTGTTCCCACCCAGGTCCAGATGCCATTGATTTTTCTGATTCCAATCCAGTAGTAACTTGGGGAGAATGTTAGTGTTCTATTCAGGTACTCAATTTCATTCTTGTTTTGAATGGCAACCAGGTCTGTGTACCTTTCCTGACAATATTTCCTTGCGTGTTCATAAGTCATATTCATTTCAGAAGAGGCGTATAACCAAGCATCACTCCCTCCAAACAGAAAAAATGCTAGAAAAAAGGAAGAGTACAGTTTTATCCTGTGAGTATACTGTTCTTTTGACAGATTTTTTTTTTTAGTTCTATGCATTTGTTTGGGGGTTTTGGCCTTGAAATAATAACTATATGGTTGGACAAGCTCAGGAATCAATGTGGAATTTTCCTGGGGACCTTGGGGTGACCTGAGCTTTTGTCACCCTTCTAAGAGTGGGAAGGAGATTAGCAAAGACCCCCTCATTCCTGGAAACTGCTCAGTGCCCTGCCACCAGGCAATTTTTCCTCAGCTTCCCATTGTAATATCGTTTGATCTACTATCACATTTTCCCAGAATCAAGTAATGACATTATACAGGGTATCTCTATGCAAAAGGAGGTTTTTAATCCCTTTTAATTAGTGATACCAGTTTTCTCAAACAAATATGATCTTACCAAAAATGACAGCAGGTAGAAATGACAAGACAGTCATTTTGGAAATCATCCTTTTCCTCACAGTATTAGCGTTGGAGCAGTTCTCTAGGAGAAAAAAAAAGAACGGAATTTGTTTTTAAAATGAAATTGACATTTAAAAATTACATTAAGGTTTCTAATGTGATTTACATATATAATCCCATTTCTTTCTCACAGCAGTCCTCTAGGAATAGAGTCTATTATTATCACTATTTTACGAGTGAGGAAACTGAGGTCCTGGAGGCTTGTCCAGGGTCACACAGCTAATAAGTATCCAAGGCAGGGTTCAAACCCAGCCTGACTCCAAGTCCAGCACTCCATCTATTTATTACCTCGTGCTATCTCATTGTCCTTAATATTATAAAAGAATTATGCCTTTTGAAAATATATGATATTGACTATAAAGAAATGCTAAACCATGAGACTGATAAATGTTTTACATGATATTCTTCAAAGGCAAAGCCTTAAAGCCTCCAACAAGTTGGCAAAAGTTGGATTCCGGGTTTACATCTGGCACTAGAGAGAAAGCTGGACTTTTAGCCAGTCTGAAAATTACACAAATCCACCCGGGAGAAGCTGGCAGAATGCCTTCTCCATAGGATCTGGAATCTATAATGAATCCTGATCAGGGTTTAGTCAGTAGTCAGTTGTACTTACAATTCCACGATCTGGTAATCTGCTCCCTTGATTTCCTCAAGCACAGCCTCACCGTTCACTCTGTGCTCTTTCACGCTCTGGTCGTAGTCTGTCAAGAACTGCAGCGCGCCCTGAGTATCCGAGTCCTTTTAAAGACGGCACTTCCTTTGGAATTCCGATGACCCAATGGCTGAATAATAGGAGGATGTCTCCAAGTTAGAAAGTGAGGAATTTCCCAGGGAGGAAAGACTCCTGGGAATGTCCACGATGTTACAAATCCCGTGATGACAAGAAGCCCCTTCCCCAACCTTAGCCACTCCTCCTGCATTCTACCAACTCTTTGATGCATTTTACATATTCTATGATTTGCTAAAGCCTAATAAGTAAGTTTTAGGGTTAGAAGTAACACACAACCACTCTTCCTAAACACAGGCAAATATAGGCCAGTTTGAGACGGACCAGATGAGATTTTCAAATCTCTACTTTGCCAACATAATCCATTTTTCTTTCTCTAACTTATCAACTCAATGGTTTTTAAGGAGCAGTGTCTTTCTGAGAACTCTAACAAGCATGTATGTAGCATATGTGTCTATAGACAAGCACTAAAGTGGTTAACTAAAAATAATATTCTTTTATTACACGTTTATAACAAATTCAAGTGCAAAAAATTTTACAAGACAGAAGACAGTATCAAAAAGTGGTCCATGTCCAGACTCTTACAAGCATTATACATCTAAATATACTTATAGGTACTTTCCATTCCTGATCTCTGGTTTTCAACATACTGACACATAGTAACAGCTGGCATTTACACCACTCTTTAAGGTTTGCAAAGAGCTTTATCCATATATTTTAACTAAATCCTCACAATAAACCAGTAAGGGAGGTAAACATTATCTCTATTTTACAGATGAGGAATCTGAGGCTTAGAGACAGAGAATGGCTTGCTCATGGTCACAAAGTTTAAAAAAAAAATGCCAGAAGTGGGATTCAAACCTAGGTGTCTACTGCTTCCAAGTGCTAGGCTAGTTCTACTACCCCACCTATCTTTTATTTTATTGTATTTTTAATTTATATAATAAAACAAGCATTTCCATAACATTAGTATAATAAAAAAGATGATTGTACATAAAACTACAAATCTACTATGCACAACTTGCCATTCTTTTCAAATATACAATAAAATTATCGTGTAAATTTCTATTTTTCTTCCCTTCCCCCACAGATGGCTACCATTAGACACAAATAGAGGGGTGTGTGTGTGTGTGTGTGTGTGTGTGTATATATAAAATTATTCTATATATACTCTACTTATCAGTTCTTTCTCTGGATGCAGATAGCATTTTTCTTCATATGTCCTTATAGTCAATTTAAGCATTTATAATAGTAAAAATAACTTATTCACTCAAAATCATTCTTAAAACAATATTGCTGTTACTGTATACAGTGTTCTCTTGATTCTACTTATTTTGCGCTTCATTATTTCCTGCAAATATTTCCATGTTTTTCTAAAATCATTGAGTTCATCATCTTAAAGCACAGTAGTACTCCAGCACAATCATACTCCCCAATTGATGGGCATCCCTACAATTTCCAGTTCTTTGTCACCACAAAGAGAGCTACTATAAATATTTTCTATCTTTCTTATTGGTAGATGACTAGTCTTTCCCCTTTGTCTCTTTCCTAATTTAGACAGTACAGGTATAGGGAGCTATGACAGGGCTATGTTCAGAGCTCAGTGATTAAATCAGGAATGGTTTCTCAAGATCTCAGGTGTCTTTCTTGGTCCCTGGGCTAGGTGACCCTAAGAAAAAAAAGCAGTGGTTATAGAGTGAGAGGGTCTTGGCTCAAATCTTGGCTCTGCCACCTACGTGACCTTCAAAAAATCATTTACCTCTCTGGTCCTCCTGTTCTCATCTATAAAATTAGGAAGTGAGACCAACTGGCCTTTGAGCTCCTTTCCAGCTGCAAACCTATGAATTATCCTATGGTACTTTTGTAATGAGGGAATCTTAAGGTATCAGCTGCATTAGCTATGAGGTTACTGCAGAGGGTGCCATGGCATAGCAGGGGCTACAGTGGACAGAAAATATCCATTGTGGGGAGAAGTTAAAAGAAAAAGGAATTTTGAGAGTGAGAGATTATATGTATAAAGATCATGAATCATTCAGGGATGACTTTTATATGGACTTGGATTTAGTATCAGGTGTTGTGGCCCTATTTGCCAGGGTAGATGCTGCTTGAACCCATAAATCACCTTTTCAAAGCTTACGTTTACCAAAAGGAAGGAAAGTGATCATTAAATTTGACCAAAAGTCAGAAGAGTTCCCGGAACCAGCAATGCCTAGCTTGAATTAGTAGAAAATCTGGGATGGAATGAACAGCTTCCTTTGACTTTCCGATTTTACATTAACTCCCAGTTGTTCTGGTGTTTTTGTTCATTCCCTTGAGGGAAGAAGGTGAAAATGACCCCACCTTTCCATCAGTGGTAATGTTTAGCTACCTTCAAGCCCCAACCTATGTGTCCCTTCTCAGGAGAAGCCTTGGATTTATTTTTCTGTTTAAATGTTTTATTCCTCAGTAGAATGCAAGCTCCTTGAGGGCAGGGACAGTTTTCATTTGTGTCTAGCTTAGGCCTTTCACACAGGGAGTAAGTATTCAGTAAGTGTTTACATAGTGGTAAGAAGTGGACTTGCAATTTCATTCACCGAGTTGAGAAAACTTCTGTCAGTACCTTGTCTGAAACCTATATAATCCTGGATTATAAAGAAGTTAAATGCCCTACCTCGGATCACACAGCCAGGATGTGTCATAGGTAGGATTTGAACTCAGGTCTTTTTTACTTTGAGGCTCTAGACACTGTGCCAGCCTGTCTTTTATTTACATATGAAATACATAAATTCGTTGTTTAGTCATTTCAGTTGTATCCAACTCTTCATGTCACCATTTGTGGTTTGCTTGGCAAAGATACTAGAGTAGTTTGTCATTTCCTTCTCCAGCTTATTTTGCAGATAAGGAAACTGAGGCAAACAGGGTTAAGTGACTTGCCCAGGGTCACACAGCTAATAAATGTCTGAGGCTAGATTTGAATTTACAATGATGAGTCTTCCTGACTCCAGGACCAGCACTTTATCCGCTGGGCCACCTAGCTGCCCATGAAATATGTAAATACATATATAATGAGATAGATAGATAGATAGATAGATAGATAGATAGACAGATAGACAGATATAGATATAGATATAGATATAGATATAGATATAGATATAGATATAGATATAGATATAGATATAGATATAGATATAGATATAGATATAGATATAGATATAGATATAGATTGATGTATACAAATGTGTGTTTAATGGGAAGACTACCCAATGACGCCCCAAGCTCCCCAAACATCCAACGTAGGTTGGCACCAGGCAGACCAGATGATATATTCTCAAAGGACTGGGCCCTCATTATCCAGGCCCCAGTTACATATATGTACATGTTGTTTCTTCTAATAGAATACAAAGTCCTTGATGGCATATACTGCTTCATTTTTTACTTTGTAGCTCCAGCAGATGCCTGGCACAGAGTAGATGTTTAGCTAAGTTCTTGTGAATAAATGAATTAGTAAATGAATGAATGTGGTGATGCTAGCTACCTTCTCTAACCATATTCCTGCAAATAATGAGAACTTAGTAGTTTGTGTTCATGTCTTGCCTACTGATGGTTCACTGTCTCTTAGAGAAAATCGATGTTTTCGAATCTTTGCAACGGTTTATAATAGGAAATGAATTATTTTTCTAGCATAGAAAGGAAATTACAAGGAAAATGACACACAAAAAGTGAATTGGGATGCCATTCACTTATCATGTGGCATGTAGCTTCTCTTTGTCTCTTCTCTGATACTGTAAAATTCTGGAATTCCCCCAATACTCTCTTTTTTTAAAAAAAACTTCCTTTTTATTCTAATTTTCACCATTTTAATGATCTTCCTTTCTTTCTCCCTGGCAGGCACTTATCTTGAGACTTCCTCTTTATGTTTCAGTTCTATTGGACTGCATAAAGTAATGGATACCTCTACAATATAGAAACTCCCCAGTAAATTCCCATAACGGGAGGTATTTCCACATAAGGAAGGCTTGTTAATTTACAGGGCTCTTCCTGAATGCTTCCAGACTGTTGTCTTTGAGATGGGGAAAATTCCTGTGTCTAACAACAGTCCCCTGTTTGTTTTCCTTGGCTGTTTTTGCTGCCTGTTTTTCAAGCCAAAGAGTGGCTCCTCCTGGTCTATTATTATCTCAATTCTACATATTGCATGAGGAAAAAAAATATTTCCCGTTAAGTTACTTTTAACCCTACTGTGTTTTTAATTGATCACAAAGAAAACAACTAATTTAAAGAAGGTGCCAAAGAAAGGCAGCCCAACTGTAAGTGGTAGTGGTAAGTGTAAATAGTGAGGAGCAGAAGTCAACTTTTGTAAGCCTTAAGGTGAGTGATAATGGTAATTATGGTTATCTTGGCTATTTCCTTCTATTTGATCATGTAACTGCTGTTATAATTCTTTGTTTATGTCTTTTGATCCGTTCATAAACTAGATTTAAGTGAGGCAGAATTGCACAAAGTTGTCAACCTCACTCTTTCCTCCAGAATCATCATAGTCCGTGGCAGGACAGAATCAAGACCATTGGTGAAGGCTCAAGATGCAGTGGATGACCTTGGCATCTTCACTCTCTAACCAAGCTCCAAACACTCCACAGCACCTGCTTCTGCTGCCTTCATGGCCATTGGAACATATTGTTTTCATTTGCCCATTTCACGAGGTGAAGTCTTCACATGCTTGAGGTAGACATCCTGCTAATTCACCAATAGGTTTGTTGGTGTAGGTGTGTAAGGTGTGTTCAAGGAAATTTCAGGGCTGCTTTCTACCTTTGGTGTCCACCTGTTCCACCTAACTCTCACCTGTGGCTCCAAGAAGCTGTAGCATGCTCAGTGGCCATACCCAGGACACTGTTTTGGCAGCCAGGCTAAATCGGGTTGAGGGTAATCCAGGGGTCTCAAGTTCTAATTCAGGATCTCATCACTCCTTACCTGACTATTCAATGACTTCCTAATGCCTCCATTTTCTGCCAATCCATCCTCCATACGGTTGCCAAATTAATACTTAAAATGCAGAACCAACTATATCAGCCCTCTACTCAAAAGTTTTTTCAGTGATTCTCTTTTGTCACTAGTACATAATACAAACTTCTCAGCAAACC